AATTGAATCTATTCAATTGTATATAACAGTTTTAATTCTTTCAAACAATCATTACTATCTATTACCAGCTGCCTATTTAAGTTTAAATAAATTTAAATTTATCGTTATTCCCAAATCACTACAAATAAAGCAATCTAAGTATATATCATAAAAAATTTTCTTAAGTTTAAATTCCAATAATCATGTATTATTTTTAAGATTATATGATTTATACTCTTTGGTAGTTGCCCTGGCGAATTTTATATAACCTATTAAGAATTAGAACAGAGTAGAATATATATTTACAAATTGCTTACTATATACTAAAAAATTATAAAAAAGATTGAACAAACTAGATGATTATTTAACTCTGTTGTATTTATTGATATATAAGGTAAATATGGATATTTTGACGAATGTACAATAAAATATGTTTTTTTACTAAGTAAACCAAACTTTAGTTACTAAGAAAAGTTGTTCAAAATACTATCTTTTGCTTACTTACAAATTTTGGTACAATACGAATAACTATTTATTAGTAGATTTTTCATTATATATTTCGGCGCAGTAATTAATTTACTGCACCAAAATGTATAACAAAAAACTTATTAATAAAAGGTTATTCGTATTGCATCAAAATTTGTAAATAAGCAAAAGATGGCATTTCAAACAACTTTTCTTAGTAACCGAAGTTTGGTTTACTTAGTAAAAAAACATGTTTTATTGTAATATGTTCAATGTTAACAGTTAATAATTGTCACATTCATCAAAATACCTGCAGGGAAGTTAGAAATTATTGTTATATTAATATTATCATATAATTTATATAAAACATGAGTTTTTTTTTTATATATTGTGGAGCAGATTCAAATGTACATAGTTGTAAAAAAAAATAAAACGTTGTTTTTTGACGGACTTTTATTAGTAAGAATTGTTGACTTCGTCAAAATACTCACATTTACCTTATATACATAAAAAACAAACAAAAATGGCAATTCTTATTGCTTATCAAATAAATTTTTAATCCTTAGTACTATCCTCTAATATCATTTGACATGCTAACTGAATAAAATCATAATTCATATTACCTATATCTCTAGATTGATTAGACAAAACAGATTCTGAAGAGAATATTGCATCCCTGGTTCCTGAGAATTCTGGCAATATTAAATTCACCACGTCTGCAATATTTAATGTTAAATAAGAGATTTTTGAATTCACGTCAATACTATCAAAATCATTAATATCAATATTTTCATCAGATGTTTCAAATAAATCATATACAACCATCGATGTATTAATACTTTCATATAACTCTTCCTCCCCTAAATCTTTTCCATAAAGTTGAAGTTCTTTATTAGAATTTGAAAGATAATAAGAACATATTTTTGCCATATCTTCTATCTGAGAAAGACAAAGTCAGGTTCGTTTGTTACCATAAAACCATTTAAGTGCAGAAAAATTTCTTTCACAAGTGGATTGTGAAGAAACAATAGAAAATAAATGTAGTGCTAATTGTAAAAGTTGATCTTGATCTTCATCAACATTTATACTAAGCCACCATTTAATTGGGGTTTCACAAGCAGAATTGTATGAAAGGTTGTAAGGTTCAGCTTTTCTTTTCCAAGTTCGCATTTCTGTTAATAATTGCTAACATGATGCTTCTGAATAGTGTAGATTGCTCCAAATTAATGCTACAGTCTCATAGATTTTATCTAATGCAGCTTTTTTAAAACCACAACCTAAACAATATATATGCATGATTAATTAAAAATATATATATATTATTAAATATATTATATAGTGTATAAGATATCAATGCAAACCAAACCCGTATAGGATATTATTACCTAATTTAAGTTTGAGAGTCAACTATTGTCGTAATTCCAAACCTGATTCAAAACCTAAATTAGTGTCCCTTTCTAATTGCATGTTCCAAACCTTAATGTTAAGGGCTAATTATCTCTACGAAACAAATATGATGCAGATGAGGTGCAAAGGAATTATTTTTACAATTGTGAAAATAATTCCTCTATATCACTAGACAATACTTGATTTTTATTTTATGATTTACACTCTAGTCTGTAATGCATAAGTCAGGTTATAGCACAGTTAATGCACAATTGTTGAAACTAGTAAAACCTTTGAGATTCTACAACTATCAGGTTTGGTTTGCATCAATAGTATAAAAGTAAAAACTTGTAACTTATCTTAATAAATTATTAAATATAGTTACAGATTTTTACTCCCATACATTTATATGTATATATAATAGATTATCTTACCTCTATACAAAGGATGCAACCAATATGCAAGAATAGAAACTGGATTTACAAGTTCATAAAATCGTCGATTAAAATTAATAATAATTTATTTTTTCCATATATTAGAGTTTTCAACTCGAAAAATACTTGCTGCTAATTTAATTAAACCAATAAGAACATCTGCTAAATTTGTCATTTTAGCTTCCAAACAATTTGTTAACTCTTTTACAGGTTTTAAAATAGCAGAAATTTGATGACACTTGATATAAAAATCTTCGTCTTGAATAAGATTAAATACCGTAATATTAGATATTGCTGATGCATGATTTTCTAAAATCTATAATAAAGTAATAATACGTATATTAATTATATACATATAAATATATATTAATGATATATAATTAATATAGTTACCTAATCAAAAACTGGCTTCGATCGAACAATTGAATCTACTGTAGTAAAAAGTGTTCCCCAACGCGTTTTAATATATGTTTAATTTCTCAACCTTTAATTCTCATAGCACGAAGTTGTTCTGAATAGTATCCATGTGCAATATGAGAATTATGAAAAAAATTTAAAATTGACCCACATTTTGTAATAATATCTTTAATAGAATCAAGTTTACTAAAGTTAGATGCAAGTAAATTTGTTGCATGAGCAGCGCATCTAAGACTTAATATTGAAGGATAGGTTTCAGGAACAATTTGATGAGCTACACGAAGATTTGCACCAGAGTCTGTTATGACTGCAGCAAATTTTTCAATACCAAGCTTTTCAATAAACTGTAAAATTTCATTAGATATAAATTTACCCATTTGATTAACTTTGTTGTATTTTTTTAATTTAATAAGATATTCTTTGCGTTTAGGAGTAGTAATAATAAAATTGTAAATTGAATCATTAGTAGGTGATGTCCATCCATCTATAGCTATATATAATATATATTAAAAATTTATTAAATATTAATTTTTATATATCGAAATAATTTTTAAAAAAAATTAATTACATACTTAAAGTAAGATTTTCTTCTTTTTCCTATTTATTATTAATTCATTAATCAATTCTTAAAACTTCTTGATCTAATAAATGACCAGAAAGTTTATCTCGTAATGGAAGTTTATATCCAGGAATTGCAAGTTGAAATAAATCAATTATATAAGGATTTTCTATAGTTTCGAATGCAAACTTACTCATTACCCAAGCTTTTAAAATAGCTTGATTTAAGGATTGTGCTCATGATTCAGGAATTGGATCAATTTTTTGAAAATAAGTTGTAATTTTAGATTGATTATTTTTGGATTTTCGTGTAGGTTCTTTTTCTTTAATAATAAAATCTCTCCAAAAATATCTGATATCATCAGGAACATTTAAGCATTGCCGAGCAAGATGTAAACGCATATTATTTGGTTGACCTCTATTCCATGTAATACTGCATCACTTACAACTAGCCTTATAATGTTCGTGTCCTAAACTAGCATTTTTATTAACATAATTCCAAATATTGCCTTGTTTTTTACCACTAGTATGTTTGTGTTTTTTATTAATAAATCAATTTAATTCATTTGTTTCATTGGTATCACTAAATTCTTCATTTTCACTAAGTATATTAGAAGTAGCTTCTAAAAAACTAGTACTACTAACACTAGTATTAGTGCTAGTGCTAGTAGAAGAACAGAAATCTGAACTTTGTGAAGTCATTTTCGATTTTATAAAAAAAAATTTAAACTTTGTTACAAAAACTTAACTTTTGTAAAATCGAAAGGATTTTTATAAGTAATTAAAAAACTTTAATTTTTATTAATTTACACGTTTGTCTTATAGTATTCATAAACTACTATATATGTCTACTAATTAAGTGCTTGGGGTTTTGTAAAATTGATTCATTTA